GCCCTGTGATAGACTGGTGACCTGTCCAGGGTGTCCCCTGCCTTCACCCTGACTCAGCTGGGATAGACTCCAGCCCCCCGTGACCCTAGTGAGGATTAAGCGGTGTTTAGATAATGGATGGATGGATGCTAACAATGCTATTACTACAACTACTACAGCTAATAAAAAATAATAAATTAAAAATGTAACAACAGGCATATTAAAAAGCAGCAATGAAAGCAGCAATTGAGGTAATGAATTAGTTTGATGTTTGATTTTTATTGTGTTGATATGCTAAAGATGGATTGTGTTGTTTTGACTGACACATTAGTTGAATTTTGTCTTTTTGTTGGCCATGCTTTCTTGTCTCTGATCACGTTTTTCCCAAAGTTATATGAAGGGATGAGCATTTCCAACACTATCATTTCCATGATAGCGTTGATAAGTGCCTGCTGACTTTAATCAGCCTCATTGGAGCAGCCCAAGTGGACTGAGAAGATGGAGAGAATGAGACATTAGTTGTTCTCTTTGGTTTGTTTGTTTATTTTAGGTGGGACTGATTAATTTTAAGTTCAGACTGAGTATTCATATACTCTTATGGAGAATTATGTCACTCCCAGTCATTGCACATACTGCATGTTGTAGCCATAGGCATAGAAACTATCACCTTCTGGATGATAATGACAAAGACTGGTGCAATTACAGTTGTAACCAGAAGTTTACATACACTGTATAAAGAGACATATGACCTTTTTTCTCTCATTGTCTGACATTAAATCAGACTAAACTTTTCCTGTGTTTGGTCAGTTAGGATTACCAAAATTATTTCTATTTTCTAAACGCCAGAATAATGAGAGAGAGAAATTTTTAGAGAATTTCTTTATTACTTTCTTCATAGTCAGAAGTTTACATACGTTTCATTATTATTTGGTAGTGTTGCCTTTAAACGTCTGACTTGGGTCAAACATTTAGGGTTTCCTTCCACTGGCTTCTCGCAATAGTGTGCTGGGATTCTGGCCCATTCCTGCTGACAGAACTGGTATAACTGAGTCAGGTTTGTTGGCCGCCTTGCTCCACACACCTTTTCAGCTCTACCCACAAATTCTCTACAGGATTGAGATCAGGGCTTTGTGATGGCCACTGCAAAACATTGACTTTGTTGTCCTGAAGCCTCTGTAACTAATCTGACGGTATGCTTAGGGTCATTGTCCATTTGAAGACCCATTTGGCCCAAACTTTAACTTCCTGGCTGATGTCTGGAGATGTTGCTTCAATATTTCCACATAATATTCTTTCCTTATGATGCCATCTATTCTGTGAAGTGCATCAGTCCCTCCTGCAGCAACACACCCCCACAACATGATGCTGCCACCCCCGTACTTCACAGTTGGGATGGTGTTGTCAGGCTTGCAAGTTTCCCCCTTTTTTTCTCCAAATGTAACGATGGTCATTATGGTCAAACAGCTGAATTTCAGTTTCATCAGACCACAGGACATGTCTCCAGAAATAAAGGTCTTTGTCCCTGTGTGTATTTGCAAACTGTAATCTGACTTTTTTATGTTGTTTTTGAAGTAATGGCTTCTTCCTCTCTGAGTAGCCTTTCAGCTCATGTCAGTACAGGACTGGTTTCACTGTGGATAATGACACTCTTTTATCTGCTTCAGCAGCATCTTTACAAGGTGTTCTGCTTTTGTTCTGGGGTTGATACACACATTTCATACCAAAACACGTTCATCTCTGGGACACAGAACCCATCTCCTTCCTGAGCGGTATGATGACTAGACATTCCCATGGTGTTTATACTTGTGTATAATTGTTTGAACAGATGAACGTGGAACCTTCAGGCATCTGGAAGTTGTACCCAAGGATGGACTAGACTTGTGGAGGACCACAATTCTCTTCCTGATATCTTGACTGATTTCTTTAGATTTCCCCATGCTGTCACAAAAGGAAGCAGTGTGTTTGAGATGTGCCTTAACATACATCCGCAGTTGTGCCTCCAATTAACTCAAATGTTGTGAATTAACGTATCAAAAGATTCCAAAGCCATGACATCATCACTGAACATTCCCAAATAGTTTGAAGGCATAGTAATCTTAGTGTATATCAGTTTCTGACTTTGAAGAAAGTAATAAAAAATTCTCTAAAAATTTCTCTGTCTCATTATTCTGGCGTTTAGCAAATAGAAATAATTTTGCAAATCCTAACTGACCTAAAACAGGAAAAGTTTAGTCTGATTTGAAAGGGGAGCCTGTATCACTCCATGCTCTGTAAGAGTACCTGTTTTAAGTGTGACAAAGACAAAGTTTTGCTGAAATTTGGATGCTGTCCCCTCCTGTAGATTCTACAGGAGGGGACAGCCAGATTGTCTCTGGCAAGTGTATAGGACGGGACAGAACAGACCCTATTTCTTGAGAAAACATGTGCAGCAAAATGTTACAAATCTACCAACCTGTGAGTTCAGTTAAATATTCTGTTGGGTATGCAGCATCAGAGCCTTGAACAAATGCAGTGGAGGCCAGCAGTTTTAATGGGAGGAACTCACATGTACATTAAACCAGTAACCAGATGTCAAAACATGGAATGGAAAAGTTTGGATTACATCACACATGAAGTGTGATTGGAAGCCATTACTACACCAAATTTTTAAATAGTTCTTTTCGGCCATATTAATGATGAAAATCTCATATATAACCTTAACAGCAAAAGCATCAAACTTTATTTGCAGTGGGGAAATAAGTATTTGATACACTGCAGATTTTGCAAGTTTTCCCACTTACAAAGAATGGAGACGTCTGTCATTTTTATCGTAGTTACACTGCAGCTGTGAGAGACAGAATCTTAAAAAGTCCAGAAAATCACATCGTATGATTTTTAAATAATTAATTTGCATTTTATTGCATGAAAAAACGATCTGATACAATAGAAAAACAGA